CTTTCAGGTGCCTGACTGGCCACCAAAAGTATGTAACATGTGCAAAAGGAAGACATCAAAATTCAGTGCTCAACAGTACAAATTTATTACATTCCTCATTGCACTAAAGCCTGCTTGGTGTTTAAAGAGCTTCAAAAGGTGTGCACAACCAAGGGAGAGATAACAGAGCCTGTGGGGAAGTGTGGATGGGGAATGGAGAGGTATTGTCCAAGGAGTTCCAGGTTCCAGTTGGACTGGACTGTGTTTTAGAGATGTATTACACTACAAGGTGATTATCGTTAATAAAAGAATGTCATAGTTTCCAAAATTACTGAAAGAATACAGGTTATGAGTTTTCATCACAAAAACAATGCTGTGTGTGAGTTACCTGTTTATCAGCTTCATGCAGTCATTCAGAAAACAAGCAAATATCAAAGCATTGCATTGTCAATAGTATGCAAAATGACTTCATCAATAAAAGATGAAATTTCAAAGGTTAATGAAATTGATATACAGAAACATTGACATATATATTGTGAATATGTCCATGTACTAAAGAAAATATTATGCAGTGTTTGGAAACAAACTGAAAAGATAAGAAAGAAGCAAAGTGGAAAGTCTGCAAAAGCAGATCACAAATGTAAACAAAAAATACAATTCAGAGCATCCAATTAATAGCAGATTGTACACTGCTGAAAATGTGCTGTAAACTTGAAGCTACAGCAATATGAACTGCAAAGTGAGGGACAGAGAGAAAAAATATCAGAAGCAATGAACACAGCCACAGTGAGGTATGGTCCACACATACGTGATATTACATGTGTGCATTTCAAATCCGAGGATGAAGGAGAAGTAGGAGAGGAAACTGAAGATATGGTGGTCCCAGCTACTCACACACACTTGATGACAAATCTAAGCAAAGTTCCCCTAGTACGACCACACCTTCTAAGGAGTGAAAACACGAGACCATTATGGCTACATAAATATCACTATGAAGTCTGAAAAGGAGGGGAAACAAGATCCGCAAAGCAGAAGTTCAGGGAAATTACACCACATTGAGAGAAAGAGAAACATGCATGACAGCACACTTCTCACCAGAAACTAAGCAAATGAAAAGTCAATCGGCCAGTCCGGCATTGTTGTGTATGCCTATAATCCCACTACTCGGGGGCTGAGGTAGGAGGGTCGCCATGAGCACGAGGCCAGCCCGGGCTACAAAGTGAGTTCAAGGCCAGCCTGAGCTACATAACAAAACCATGTCTCAAAAAAAGTCAATTGGTTCACATTTCCCTGGAAGAAAATAGATATGCCTTCAATTCTACAACCAGAAAAAATTAATTTCTAATGAAAATGAAATGAAGATATTCCCAGGTAGCTACCATTTCACAGAATTTGTTACTAAAAGCTTTCTTACACAATAAAGGTTAAATTACTGGTGCTCAGTTGAGTAGCACTGATTGGAAACTTGAAGTTAAGAAAAGAACTGAGAGTGTTACATGTTGTAAATATCTGTGAATCTCTGCA